GTCCTTTTTTTATTTTCTTTAATGTTTTGAAATGAAGTTACACACAGTTTGGGGTTGCCTAAAGAATACTTAAAAAAGTGAGAATCTTTATTCCAAAATGTAATATTTAAGATCTGAAAATGTTAGTCTTTTAAAAAAATGCTGGTTATAATACAGCCAATTGCATTATTGAAAAAAAGTGACAATAATACAAGCAAAGCTAAACATCCAGGAAATATCAGATTGCTCTCTAGCACTTTGGAATGAAGTCATTTGAACGGATCTACCATGAAAATGCACCTAAACTTCAATCATTGTTGAAAACCAAGTCTTCAAAATGATGCCATAAAGACACTGTATGTATTTAGTTTTTCTTCCAAAATTGAGATTACGGTCGACTGTCTGATCTGAGGGCTCAGTTTATGTGGAAATTATGATCTGATGTCTGACAAAAAAGAGAAGAAAAAAAATGTCTAGTCGTTCAGATCCGACGTGCACTACACACCCATACTGTAGCTGTCACATGTAAATATGTGTGAGCGCACACATTCTCGGGTGTTTAATGATATAATGTGTGTGTATGACTGCGTGCGTGTGCGTTTGCTTGTACAAGTGTGTTTGGTTTTCTTTTGTCTTTCTTTTGCTGAGATAAATAGCTAACCCCTTGCCCATCACTGTGAATCTAACATTATTCCCCATCTTTGTGAATACTCCACCCACTCATCAAATAAAATGAACAAATGTAAAAAGAAAAACAGTGATACAGATGACGATAACAATAAAATATTCCAGTAGAGGAGCACAACTCAAGGTTTGGTTGTTTCTTTCTTGCTTCTTTTCAGCACATAACAATTAAGATATATGAATAGGCATGAAAGATACATGTTACATTGTTAAATGAGGCTTCATATTTGTTTGAAATAAATCACGTTGGACACATTTGAATGTAAACAGAGTTCTCTTCATATCAGCTGCTTAATGCATTTTACAAAACTTCAATATTTAGGCCTATCATAAATGAATGGACAGCCTTTAATTGTTTATGTAACATCAATTCAACGCATAGCCAAGAATAAAAAACTCAAAGAACAAAACAGTGGTAGAATAAATAATAAAAATGTTTTGTGTCATTGCAGGCTTTTATGGGCAATCCTGCTTATCTCTGGAGTCGGCAAAGGGCAGTACAACACACAATCAAATGAATGTACTGTAATATTCAATAATATCCTTAATATAAAAACTAAAGTGTGGAGCAGGTGAGAGCGACCCTTTCATGAAGCGTGACATCATTTGATTGTGTTTACGTCTACAAAGACTTGAATTCTTCTGAAATGAACAAAAGCACAGCAAGTACATGGAGAGCATCTCACTTAGGAGAAACGATATGCGAGCGTGCATCACCGTGTGTGTGTGTGTGTGTGTGTGTGTGTGTGTGTGTACATTGGTAGTTTGCTTGTGTGTCTGTGTGTGCATCTCCAGAATTTGCAAGTGTGTGTGTTGTCTGAAGCAGCCCCAGGGAGGGGCTCTGACATTGAAGACGGGTTAAATCCTGTTTTACATTCAAGTGGCAGGCCCTAGTTCATTAGAGTGAGGATCATTCCTCCTCAAGACCAAAGGAAGCGCATACTAAACAAGAGCAGTTGTTGGGGAGAAAATGCCATTGTACGTGCAAAACCGTATGTACTATAAGTGTGTGTGTGTGTGTGTGTGCTGAAGTGCTGCTAACGGAGCTACACAACAACCTCTGGTTTCTTCTTGATATCTTTCCTTTCTGCGGACTACAGTCTTTATGGCGTGTGTGTGTGTGTGTGTGTGTGTGTGTGTGTGTGTGTGTGTGGTGTGTGTGTGTGTGTGTGTGTGTGTGTGTGTGTGTGTGTGTGTGTGTGTGTGTGTGTGTGTGTGTGTGTGTGTGTGTGTGTGTGTGTGTGTGTGTGTGTGTGTGTGTGCGTGCGAGTGTGTGTTCAGCACGCACAACTCATGGCAGCTCTCCTGACTGTCTTCTGCTCAGCCTGTCATTGAGTCACCCACATGCCCTTTCTGTCACTGACTTTGATGGCTTATCTTACCCCCTGAATTGGAGTCGTGCTCCCGGGGGAAATACCTTAGCACATGTAAATGCATTTGAAAGAGTAAAAATATGGGTAGGAATAATAGAGTGAGGAATGGAGGGAGACACAGAGACAGCTTCCACCTGACATGGGCTTACTACACCTCTACCATTCCCTCTTTTCCTCCATCCTTTCCCTGCTGTTTTTGTGAATGTTTCCCAACAATGTCTTCTCCTCTCAGCCAGGAGAAGGCCAATCCATAAGTAATGCAGGTCTTAAGGCTGATGCTTTGATCCATACGCGTGGCATTTAACACCTCAGAGCGGATGAGCAAAATAAGCAGAGGTTATGGCTCCTACTTTCAGCGCTGGGAGTGTATATGTGCAGCACAGGTTGAGAGATGTATGAGCTTAGACCTGGACTTGGAGCTGTGGCTGGTGTTGTGGTTTCTATAGCTGCTCGGGGTACGGGGGTGGATGGTGTTTGTTAGTGAGGGCGCGTCTCCTGCCTCTGGGCGCCCTGCCCTTTAGACGCGCCAGGCCTCAGGAGCCTCCTGCATGCCAAGCAGACCTGTGCAGTCAGATGCAGCCAGGGAGGAGAGACGAGGAGAGGAGGGAGGGGAGGAGAAGCGAACGTGAGTAGGAGTCCAGAAAGAAAAGGACTGGAGGGCGAAAGGGTAGAAGACGATCTTAAGGAGAGAGTAAAAGAGGGAGGAGAGGGGCTCGAGGGAAGGAGGTAGGGGTGCTGGTAACACTGCAGCAGCCACCTAGACACACCTTGCATGTGAAACACAACTGCACTGAGACGCCCAGGGAATCAGCCAAGGAGGGGAAGAGAGGGTGACTCTGAGGTGAGTCTCAACAGCAACACTATGTGTCGATGGCCGCCAGATATCACAGACCTTCGCCCTAACCCAGTCAGTGATTGTTATCACAGACAAAGCCCCCCCATCACCAATACTCTCACACTCACTCACACACTCACACACACACACACACACACACACACACACACACACACACACACACACACACACACACACACACACACACACACACACACACACACACACACACACACACACACACACACACACACACACATGCTGCTCAGCTCAGCTCACATATCCGTACATGCTCGCACAACAGCAGCTCATTAAAGGAATTATGCATGTACAGCATGTGTGTGAACAGTTTGTACATCTTTTGACGTCCCTTGTAAGGAGAGCTTCTACTACACATTAAGGTAAGCCTTGTTTACATAATGAAAAAAATACTAAAATAAATATCAGTACAGGTAGCTCAATATGTAGTGGTAAGGTGATGCATTTAAAGATTTATTCATTTTAACTATCTAGGAAAGAGAATAATCCACATTTTCTAATGACTTATTTATTATGAGAGCGTATTTAAATATGGAGTGTGTGATCTCAAATCTCCTTGATGTCCTCAGCTAATAGTGCAGATACCGAGGTCATGTCCGCTGTACTTTATCCACAGATTTAATGTTAACTCAATATAACCATATAAATCATTTACACTAAAAAAGTAAACCTCTTGTAGAAGGGGCCATGCCAGATTACTATTGACGCCCACCTTGCATTCAGTGCGTAAAGAACATTCACACCGCTACACAGTTTTCACATTTAGTTATGTTGCAGCCTTATGCTAGAATCATTCAAATCAAATTGTTCTCTCTCTTCATTCTGACAAAAAGTCATTCTTATAAATGTATTAAAAATAAATAACTGGAATTAGACCCTGTCATGACCGTTATGATGTTAGACTCCCATTCCCCTTTAAAATGTTTCTAAACATTGATTGAAGTGCACCTGTGGTCAATTATATTGATTGGACAAGGTTTGGGAACACACCTGTCTACATAAGGCCTCCCAACTGATAATATATATCAGAGTAAAAAAAAACAAGCCATGAGGTTGAAGCCTGCTGAGGTCAGAGACAAGATTGTGTCGAGGCCAACCTAGTAGAAAACATTCAGGACCTCAGACTGGGCCGAAGGTCAACAGAACAATGAACACAGGACAATGCAAGAATGCCTTGGAACCAACTGTGTTAATGTCCTAAAGTGTTTCAAGTAGAGACTGGATGTCTAACTTCCCTGGAGAGGCCTGAAAATGGCGGTCCAACACTTGTCCTCAATCAGCCTGACAGCCCGAGAGGATCTGCAGAGAACACCGCAGAAAATCTCTAAATCAAGGTTAGCAAAGCTTGTCACGTCATACTGAAGATGACTCGTCAGTTATTGCTGCTAAATTGCTTTGCTTGTACTGAGTTACCTTATGTCAATCTGATGGTTCATATTTTTGCTAAACTTAAAATCTTATATATTAAATCATTTTTTCCTAAAGGCCTCTGAAAAGTTTATGAATGCAATGTTTGTGCGCCATTTACTCTAAATTCCCCATGACGCTCAATGCACATAGTGCGCTGAGAACGGCACCTCCAGCTAACGACCAAGAAGCCAATCAGTACCACCCAGGAATACTACATGGCTCAAAAGGTTAATGTGTCAGTTTGTGTTCATTTCATTAAGCACACAAATTTATTCAGGAATATGCACAATGTAAGCATAATATAAAGTTAAAATAATTAAGATCAGGTCATTATTCAGGGTGCACCTTAGTTGTGCAAATTCCCTGATTAATTTGGAATTAATCAAATACTAAAAAAAGGAAAATGCTTTTTGAACGGCTACTAACTTTTTGGCTCTATTGCACTTTAAACATGCATACTTGCTTGAAAAGGTTCTCTCATCCAGTATGCTAATATTAGAGACTTAAAAAAAGATATATATTATTTCAGGGAACAAATAACAAATTATTTATTTGTCTTTAACATCCCGCTAATCATTTCATAACCCCTCTGATTTATCTGGTAACTTAAGGGATCATCATCAACCTACAGTATAGGGGAGAACCCACAGGTGTAGCGTGAAAGTAAAAAAAAACACACACTGATTTCTTCTTGCTTTATTACTGTATGTACAGTAGGGTGCACTATAATTAGTGCATACAGAAAGAAAAAGTAAACAAAATGAACCCAATTGTTGCACACCATTCAATATCTAGACCTTTAGCCATACTTCACATCCATAACAACAGCAATTATAGTAATCACCAGATGGTGAAAATCAACTCAAAAGGTATAATGGTTTGTTTCCATTTAGGTACAGTACATGTACATACCAATAGTATAACTACAGGAAAAGGCTGTGGCAAAAATACCTTTTCACTAAAAGTCTTAAGTTTCTATATAGCGACAAACAAACTGACGAAAGTGCTTTTGCTCTATCAAAACACAACTGATAAACAGAATTCACCTTTAAACCTCTGTAAAATAATATTGTAAGCCCTCATTGGTTTAGAAAAAAGAAAGACAGACCTGAAATATGCAGTATGACCCGTTCTTTAGATAACATGGCATATCAAAACCACCTTCAGTTCTTTTATGAAAACTTCAAGTATTCAGTAGTCAGAGTTAATAAGGTTGAACAAGATGAGACAAGAAGCCAAAGAAATGGGTAAAATAATATTGCATACAGTGAATGAAAACTTAACTTGTATAACATATATATAATGTTCTCATTGAGTCTCTGAATTGATGATGAAAAAGAAGCAGCTTTGAATATATGATAAGAAATTGTACAAAAGGCTGATTTTTATTCACCAGAAGTCAATGTAGTCAAACAACCCAGATTTCAGCATTTTATGACCAGTTTTCTTAAAGGTCTTAAAGGATTTCTTCATCCAAACAATATTCTTTCCATCTAAATAACAATACACAAAAGTCTGTATTGATTGACTCACACAGCCAACATATGGACATGTAGGCTGTCGCATGCACACACACATACAAATAAGGGGAAGCCCTGAATCATAGCAACACACTCCCGCTCGTTCCGAATGTCTACTTGTTCGGCCCCTTGCTGTCATTGTCCTCACTGTTGTGATGTCTGCCGTCGTGGGAGCCACGGTAACCACGGTGTCCTCGCCTTTCGCGGCACTCCCGGCACTCGTCGTCATCCTCTTCGTCCTCTTGGATGATCTCCAGCTCCAGACGGCCGATGTAGAGCGATACCGCACAGAGCCAGAAGAGGGCGACGCTGACCACCGCAGCGCTCTGGAGCAGCAGCGCTGGCACAGACAGCAGCATCATCCTCTTCAGGGCCAACAGGCTGCCAAGGTACGAGGCCCCGCCAAACGACACACACATACCCCCCAGGATGAAGAAGGCTGAGGGGAAACAGATTGAAATGGTATTATTGTAAACATTCATTTTCTCACTCTATATAAATATGATATGGAGGCAGGCTAGATCTATACATGTTCTTCAAGTTAACAAGATCAAATAATATCCAGTCTACAAAGTGATTTGAATAAAACACAATAAGCCCTCATCTCAACTGGTGTGCTTCTTCAAGAGCAGTCATACATGTATACTAACATGATTAATGTTAACCTCAACATTTTATTTACTACCATAGATGGCAAATGTAGTTTTCATGTTTTTTCCGACAATATTTTTTATCAAACTCAATGACTTTTTTTATATACTTTGTTTAATAAAAAATGTAAAACATAAAACTGGCCTTTCTGGTAACCATGTTATTGGTTGGTTATTATGAAGGATCTCAGCTCATTATATTTACTCATGATGACTTTAACCTATCAAAGAGATCCTGGCAAAAAAGTATTTATTTGCTGAATGAAAAATGTAATTCCATTGCAAGGTTCACTTATTTATCTAGGACAAAAAGAGCTAAGGAACATGGTTAAAGATGCTATAGTTTATTTAATTATTTCATGGACATTCATTGATTTTCAAGCCTTTTTAGTTTTCTTGAATCCATTAGTTTAGAAGAATGTAGCCCTAGAGCCACTGTTTACTAACCTGTCTTCTATCTAATATTAACTATTTATTTAAGGCATACATTTATGGAACTGAGGGGATTAAATAAATGTTTCAAATAAATTGAATCACAAGTTGATGTTTGTTATTGCACTAACATAGAGCCTTGGCTACAAGTGTTCTGATTCGCATTCAAATGTACCATATCCTGCGTCTTGCCCCACATCGCTCTGGACAAATGCGATGACTCCGATCCCAGTCGACAGTAGACCGTTCCTGAACCACGAGAGGAATCCTGCAAAACAGAGAAAGCCAGAAAATAACAGCTGACACATTTCAGCCTGACCAGAAATCTGTCACACTGTTTACATGCATGCAAGCATAAAATGACTGCCATAACAAATGCCTAAAACCTTAAGTTCAGTGCTGATGTATGAGATTGTTTCAAAATGCACTGAAATGTACAATATGGCAATGAAATACAACTGGAACATTGCTAGATTGAGCTACATTAAGAGAAAAGGATATAGATATGTTTGATTTATTTTGAAACTATGAGATTTGATGTTTATATGATTGAATGAAAAGCGGTCAGTCGTTTAAAAGCCCTGCACACATTCACAGGTGTTTTCACTTCTGATGATTAGATCTCTGCTCAGGGTGTAGTTGGGTTGTGTCAACAATATTATCAACATACTAATACAAATCAAGCTGACAAGTTGATTAGGTATCAAGTCAAAACTAAATGTAAGTTACCCCACCTTTTTAAACACAAAACTTGCAGTACATTTTAAATAAATACCTAAACAATAAAGACACACTGTCAATATCATACAAAGTTCCCATATATTTCAATCTCAGGGTTATAAATACAGAAAAAGCACAGCTATCCAGTATCAGACTTATCTGAGGTGCTGGAGCTACGGGACATATCATACTTATTGAAACAAAACAGACTTTGTTCAATAAGTTAAAATCTCAATTTTAGGAATTTCTGACTAAACTCCTATCTCCCTGCTGCCTCTTCAGAGCTTTATTAAATACACTTCTAGTTTTCCATTTCTGTGACAGACTGTTCAATCAAATAACAGCTCAATCATTCCCACGACTAAATACTGTGTAGTCATTTTTCACTTTAGCCCCCTAAACCTTTCTGTCAGTACAACCTTTTAATTGATTTGATGTTGTTATATAATTTAATTTAAAACTACTTGTCTCACCAAATGTTTGATATCTGGCTTCACCCACGTAATGATGTCAAATGAGGTGTCTTTACCAGCTGTCAGGGAAACGCCTGCTATATCTTCACTGACTGGGATGTGTCCAAAAAGACAGTATACTTTTTCACCCTCGGGCTAGTTGTTAATCTTATTGTACCACACCTACAGACAATTACTATATTGTCAACGATGATGTATAGCCTTAGCTTCAGGGTTAAATCTATGGTAAATTCTGGTCATTATTTCCAGCATGGATTAGGTCAGTTACCTGTCTCATGGGACTTTCGCAGCATCTGAAAAAAAGGAAACGGAACAATATTAGGACCACCGACCTCTGATTTAACCATGTCATTATGAATTGGAGAGGTGGGAGAAGTACTCGGATGTTGTACCAGAGAGTAGAAATACTCTGTTACAAGTAAAAGTGCTGCATAATCCTGCATACAAAATATACTTAAAGTAAAAGTAATCTTTATGCAGATTGGCCCATTTCAGAATAATATATGATATGTTTTTTGATCATAATTATTAATGTGTTTATCAAAGCTGGTAAAGGTGCAGCTAGTTTTAATGACTTTGTATGCTGCAGGGTAGATGGTGAATTTACTCCAGCTGTATCTAAAGTCTTATTTAAGTGTTGATTACATTCCACATCATTTATCCAAATCTGCAGAGTAACTAAAGATGTCAATGTAATGTAGTAGAGTAAATTGTAGTGGGGTAGAAGTACAGAAGTACGATGTAGAAAACAATGTAAATACTCAAGTAAAGTACTTGTATCTCAAAATGTACAGTACTTTGGTAAATGTACTGAGTGTCCCCTTAGTAGTAGGCCTACTAGTGATTTGTCAAAACTAATCTATGAAGGATTTGCAGTGAGTGGCCGTACAGCTTCTCAAAACAGCATTGACATTTCAGTTTAAGAAAAAGCACTCTTTATGTTCTCATTCGACAACATTTCCATACCAAAGCGTCGGCCTTGTCGAGGTCTGAGAGCTGGTGCTGCTCCGGGCCCCGGCTCTTCAGCCACGGCTCCTTCTCTCCGAGCCGCAGCCGGGGGGAGCCGTGCAGCCGCCGGAGGAGCGGGGCTCTGGCGGCGGGAGGCCGGGCCAGACTCCTCACCGTCCGGGCGAAGTGCGACAAGGCCGGCGGCAACTGCCTTCTCATGAACAAAGTGAGAAAAGCCATCACATCACGAATCTAAGCTGATTAAACAAATGTCATGCGAATTGAAAGCAAAAGCATAACACGACCTTTGCCCTTTGAACTCTCACACGAACAACGACAAACCCGGAAGAGACTCTCCCACGATGCCGAGAAAAGGTAAGAGGAATGAACTCAGCGCCATCATGCGACTCGACTGACGGGAAATAAACCAACCAACCATACTTCAGAACAGTGTCATTGTATTGACTTCAAGGCACAGCTAACTGTTCGTTTTATTGTGTTTATTGTACGTTCGTTTATATCGAATATCGATATTTCCTCTTCAAATATAAACAACATGCACTTGTAAGTGAACGCCACACGAGGGCGTCAGAGCACAAGGCTGTGACTTGTGACATGCTCAGATTTATTATATATTTTATTACAAAAAGTAGAATAAAACGGGAAAAACACCACCAATAATTTTTTTGTAAACCTAATGTATTCAGAAAAACGCAGAGGCAAAGAAAGGATTGTAAAAAAAATAAAGTTAAAATATTTTTAAATGCAATGGAGCACATAGGCTATCTGATTTTGAATTGTAATCGTTATTGTTAATGTCTACCCTTAAAAAAAGCAGATCAAGAGTTGTTACATAAATACCAAAATATATTTTGAAGACTATTTCAATATAAAGGAAGTGTAAGAATGGCATCCTGTACAATGAAGCTGATAGTGAAAATTCTGTACAGATGTAACAGTGTCAAAGTGCACCAAACATCTTAGAAGAGGAACTCAAACAGGACACTCAGGAGTTTGTGATTAATGTGAAAAGGAATTCTAATAATTTAAAACATGCACAGCTATTTCCTCCTCCTTCCTTTGCAAAACACAAACAAATCAGATGTACACACCTACAAGTACTTAATAACCCTTAGCATACCCGATGAACTCTTGATGTCACGTCTGTGTCCCTGTCAGTGAGGATTATAGGACAGCCTCTCCCTGAGTGTCTTTTGTCTTTTGGTCCACACAGTAAGGCTACGCCTGTAATATATGATGTGTGTGCGCGTGTTTGGACAGTGGGGTCTTTTACAAACAGCTCAATCTTTGATGTGATGTGCAGCTGACCCTGTGGTCGCTCTCACGCTACTGTCCCCAACACAATGGGAGAATGGGAGACTGATCTTTGCACACACACACACACACACACACACACACACACACACACACACACACACACAAATGATCACAATTATTTACAGAGTAAGACACACCTCTCTAAAGGCCAATGGATCGTAGGGTGTACAAATGAAAACCACTTCCATTCCCTGCTGTGTGGTATGATCTTTCAGTGAGCTGTGTGTGAGGTCCTGTCACCCATCCTCCATGTGACACTCTCTAAAGACTATGAATATTTGTTAGTTCATCTCTTTAACACTGTCACCAAGATATATCAGGCTTGAAATTACACTTCAGTGCTTTAAAAAAAAAATACATTTAAATGTCAAACACTTTTGAAGTATAAATATGCCAAATGAATGAGGTGCCCTTTACTTCTGCTGAACTACAACCAGCAAAAAGATCGGTGTAGTGGTTCATGTAAAACATTTAACAAAATGATTACTGAAATATATCATATAGTGAAACAATGAATGAATGTGTGTGGCACCTTCTAGGGGAATAAAACCCCATCAAATGATTTGGATTAGCAATATAAAGTATTGTCTTACAGCCAAATTCCCCAAACATGCATTCTTGGAATTCTATGTGATTGCCTTTATGTACCGATATACTTTTTTTCAACCTGTGTGGTAGCAAATTGCTAGCTTGAATCAAATCCACTAACATGTGATAGCAAATTGATTTCTCACCTAGCTTGAATCAAATTCACTGACATGTGGTGCAAACAGATTGATTTAAGGAGGCAATTGATATTTTCAAGTAAAAACAAATTAAAAGATAGCAAAAATGTAACAGAGAGATGGGGTCCAGTGTTTAAACATATGACATTACTCAGTGTTGTGTAATTAACTGGTGATAAGATTACTGAATTACACAAGCATGCTTGTCCACACACACACACACACACCCATGCACACACAAAAACAAACACAGAGTCACTGGGTTTGGTCCATACTTTCCAGGATGCTGTCAAGGAGAAACTAAATGTGGCAGTGTATAGGTTCAACGTGTCTTTTTGCACATTGTGTTTCCATCTGTTCTGCACGCTCATGTAAGCAGAGGCAGTATATCTACATGACATGCATCTACAAATGATAGTTGGATCCAAAGATAAAGATATTTGAAATACCTATAGAAACTATATATATATATATATATATTTATAGATAATATGTTTTACATTATACGTTATGTGAGTGAACGCAGGAGATATTTACACTGACAGAGGTCTCCTTATGGAGACATTGCCTGTCACATCTCAACCTTGATGAACAGATCGAAATTAGCTGCTATCTGCTGGACTTTGCATTTGTACCATATCTGCATGTGGTGGCAACTTATTACTCATTTTTTTTGTTGATTTTATTTCTGTAGTTTAGTTTGGACATAGTGATTACATTCTGCATTGAAACAGTTTCAACAGAGCTTTTATGCTTCAAACTGACATCTCAACGTTTTCAATATTGCTTCTTGTGTTTTTTGCAAATCTGCCTTTTTGAGATCAACTGAATGTTTGTGGTTTCTCCATTACTTGCTTAAACCCTGTCCTTTCTATTATGTTTAGCTTTTTACAGTTTTCCCCATCCCTATTTTTAGGATCTGTCTTCCAACCTTTTACAAAAATATTTCTTCCTCTCTCTGTCTCTCTCTGGTTGTCCATTCTTCTTCTTTAACGAACCAAAACATTGCAAGTGCTACAATCTATTGTTGATGTTTTTAAATGTTGAGAATCGAAGATTTAATCGAAACAGGGAAAAAACATACATTTATATCAGAATTGTTGAATGATTTAGGCCATATTGGGATTTCAAAACAAAGAAAGCATCGTACAACCAAAGTTAAGCAAGTATTTTATAGGCCTCAACTGTCTGTTAACAAGTAATACATTAGTAAACATGTCTTATCCTCTCTGCTTGATTCCTGCAACGTCAACAGTAAAGAGGGAGGAGTGAGACAGAGATAGATAGGAGGAGGAGGAGGAGGAGGAGGAGATATGTATACGTGCAGAACTGCACTAGTCTGTGTTACACAGTCTGGGGGATCCCAGCCAGCTGTGTTAGGAGCATTGACCTTGGCAAAGTGTACACTGTTTTTCAGTCTCCGGGACAAACAAGTGTCTAATACACGTGTCAACTGTTCAGCAGACAAATGATTTATTTACCTTAATTAAAGGAGGTGTGTTGCTAAAGAGTGAATAATACAAATAGTAAACCATCCATAATGGTTTATAAGCAAAGATATAGTGTATTTATGTAAGGTTTCTCATATTGTATTACGTAAACTGTGCTTTGTAAGTTATTTTGAGGGACGACCCCATAATGTACAACCAGTACAGGATACAGGATGGAAAGCTGTCGGGGTTATTTAATGTTGCAGGTGCGTGAGTGTGTGTGTGCCTCCAAGTTTGTTTTTTCCTTTCATTATGGTACAGCTTTTGTTTTCATCTCCTGGTATGTGGGTGCCCCTCATTTATATTGAGGCGCATTGTTTTCTCTGAAGATAACTTGTGTCCTTTACATTGTTGGAGCTTACATCGCAGGCCAATGGTTTGACGTGTTTATGCCTGAATGTGTGTGTTATATTTCCACCTATGTCCGCTGTTATCATGCGTTTATTATGTTCTGGGTGCCCACTTGTGGGGCAATGTGGAAACTTGGTACATATTCACCACCGTAGTTATAGCCAAACAATGAATCATGTTTTATCTCTCATTGTATTAAAACAATGGTATCAGTCTTATAGTAATATTTGACCGTCTGGTTGCTTAGCAGTGGCAAAACTTTGAGTGCTTGTGTTATTTCTTGTCAGTCAACTCACTTGCGTAAGCTGTATGACTTCAAAATGAACTCATTTGCCCATTGGTGTTGAGAATGTTCTATGTTTTCTTTAAGCACACTGCCTTTCCTCATTTATTTGCTCTTAATTAAAGGTCAGCCTTTGGGCATCTGTGAACTCCCCATGTAGTCACAACTTGTGTGTTTGTGTTCATGCCAATTAGCAAAAAGTGTGTGTAAGAGTGGCTACAGCAAAGGTGCGGAACTTCTAAATCGAATAACACGAGTTGGCCAAACTCATGATCTGTTGGTTGTAGACTCTAGTGGGAGGTGTATCATTACCGTAAGTAGAGTGTGTGTTTTTTTGTGGTAATGCCTGGAATCGTGTGTGTATGTGGTTGCAGCTTTTGGACACTATTTGCTCTTGATTAGGGTAAAGATTTTCCCAAAAAATGACAATACAATCTTTAATCTATAAATTGCTTGAATTGCATGATGATTGCAGCCTTCATTAATGTTGCCTGTTGACGTCTTGAGGCTACTGACCACCGATTTCCCAAACAAGTTCCCTATTCCCTGAAGCCAGGCAATGTGTTGTTCTTCACATTCGTCAATTGAACTTTACCTACACTGTACAAAAGAAAAACCTAGAATTATACTTTTGATCACTGACTGACAACTATCTTTTGCTTGGTGGAGTTCAATTAACCGACAGGCATGCAGGTCTGAAATACATTTAATCCCATTTTCTCTTCACCTCAACTAAAAGGAATGCAACATTTTGTTCATTTGTTTCTTGCCGAGAGTTAAAAAGAGTAACACCCCAATTTTGCAGTAAATATGAAGCTAATGCTAATAAGCAGCATAAGCCTTGTTCTGTCCAAACACATTCTGCCTACCATCCCCTCTAAAGCTCACCAATTTACCAGATTTCTCTCATACTGTATATCATTTTTGTGAGGGCTATGTGCCAGAGTGTTTATTTTTGTTGAAATCGGCTGAAGTAGAGCTAATTGACGATAGCTGATAACATGTGAATGGATTGCATTAGTGTGAGTTCCAGCTCTATTCTGTGAATTAAGGTGAATTATGACGTTATCATGATGAGTCTAAATGTGATCTTGTAATATTTAGTTTTTGTTTGTGGTGTGCTGTAATGCCTTATTGTGGCGGACTGCTAATGTTGAATATGATAACCTCTCAACCTGTATTTTGAGCCCTTATGTGCATTTAAATAGCCATACTTTTATGATGAGTAGTATGCCGCAGCATTTCACATGCTGCTCTTAATGTCTATATACAGGCTGTACTACAAAGAAGTAGGACACTATAGGCAATAACAAAGCAACAGTTGTGCGTTAAAACAAAAACATAAGTGTCAATAACTTCACAGACGGGGCTGCCCTGGAAGCGGCAGATGGATGTGGCATGCCAGTGTGTCAATACACTCTGTCCCTAATCCCTCAGGGTGAGTAGCTAAATCCACAACCCTAACCCCAGGCCTGGCTTTATAAAAGCACATTACCTCACTTCCTCCTGCTAGACAAACGCAGAAGTGGACAATAATGCCAAGCAGAGTAATGAAAATGTAAGCAAAGTTTAGCAAGCCTACAGTTTATCATGGGTCAGCAACAGGAACTCAGTCAGTTCCAATACTGAAAAGGCTACTAACTATACAACAGCTGACTATCACTCTAATTAATATCCTATACAGTAGGATGTGGTATTGAGGCAATACGAGACAATATATTTTGTGAAATGTCAGGCATTCACAGAATTATCACTAAGAATTCTGGATTTACTACCTACACTACGCTACAGATATTACAAGTTACACAGGCAGAAGAAATGCAACAGATTAGGTAACATATAAATCATCTAGTTGGGACTACTTAAGTAGTTCACTGCATGACTTTTACTTTAGACATTACTTAATTGCTACTTTTATCAAAGCAAAGGATGTAAATAGTTGTAGGGGGACAGCATAGAGATGGATATACATTGGGAGGGTAGGTACACTATGTTCACACTTGAATATATTCCATTTATTGTATTTTTTGCAGACACATGCTGGTAAGGGAGCCCTTCATGTAGCCTAAGTTATATTTATAGACAAATTATACATTTGTAAAGACAAGGCTTGATGATAATATCCCAGCATTACTATAACATATATTTCTTTATAATTAAGGGATTTTCTGTCAGTGACTCAGTGCAGCTGAAAGTTGTATAGCAGCCAGGTTGCAGATGGCTTTTTGTGCATCTTTGACAGAGAGAGAGATAGTGTGAGAGAGAGCGAGCGAGAGAGAGAGAGAGAGAGAGAGAGAGAGAGAGGAGGAGGAGGAGGAGGGGCGGAGGGTTGACAGGCTGAAAGTGGGTGCACTCGGAGATCACTTTTTAGGAGGTTTTAGGCAACCTCGTGTGACTCCGAGCATCCCCCTCTGTCCTTCGGTTGAGTCTACGTGTCAGGCCGGCGATGGTGTTCTCATCTCCCAGCATTTTATTTTTAACCGACAAGAAAATTGAATGGGACCGGCACACAGGCAAGACAATCCCGGAAATAACATGCGTACTCACAGCCTGTCACGTACGCTCACTGGATTTGCATTGCTGTAGGCTGCCGAAGGTAAGCAGTGGATTTACTGCAGGGACGTTTTACAATACATTTATTCAATGTGAAATATGTTGCTTATTTTTAAGAGAGAGACATGATCACTAGGCTGCTCAATGGGTAATCAATAGCGGATAAAAACGAAGTATAGGCTTTATTTATTTGAAGGGTGTTTCTTAGCAGCCTGATATTCTTCTCATTTTAGAAGCATGTATAAGAACACCTCTTGAATTGTATGACACATTTCGTAATTAAGTCTTATTTCAGTGTAAATGTCAGTAATGTGTGAATTTGTGTTAGCCTTTATTCCTCTTCATTTCCTTTCTAGGGAATACAACTCAGCTGCAATATCCTAACGTCATGAAGAAACATGCGATTTATTATGTTATTTTGTTTATTGTCCTACTTTTAAATATTATGGCTGTATAAATAGTGCAGCATATACATAGAGCTTGATTAAAGCTACTTAATCTAAGTCTGCAATGTGCTATTAATAGGACTAAAGTATAATTTCTCTTTCCACAGATATCTTGCACATAATCAAAATGTGAGTAAAACGGATACGAACAAGTTCGCAGTTCGACAGTATTAAATGAGAGTTATTGCTGAAAACAAAGAAAGGAGAAGAAGACTTGGACATGAAACTTCTGGTGGCTGTGGCAAAAATCCTCTCGGTCAGGGAAAGCAGCGGCTCAGCTGGAAAATGAAGCGAGGACGTGGGCTACGTGCGCATCCAGCTGATGACGAGGTGAAATGGAGAGTTTGGGACACACGGACCTTTTAAAAAGCTCTTCCCGCGGATGCGTCGATGTTTCAGCCTCACAAGAGAGAAGGACGACCTGCCAGCAGCTGGGCTTTGGAGAGGCGGAGATTCACCACACCTACCGGGCAGACATGGGGCTAGACGGCTCCTGCGCGGCCCCGGTCGGTAGTCCAACGGCGGCCGAGTTACTCGCGGGTCTGGCCTCTCAGACCGACTCCCCTGCAATCACCACCCCGACTAAGCTGTCCAAAACCGGCGTGCCGCTCTACAACGGAGGGGTGGTGTCTCCATCAGCTACGGTGGAGGGGAGCCACGCAGGCGTTCTGGCTCACACACCAAACGGTTACCCAGCACATACAAAGGGGGTGGTGGGTGTAGGCAGCCCTATGCACCAACTTACCAGCAGAGCCTGTCTGGTGGAAAGCGGGGACCAGACAGACCATGAGAAGTGCCCTTTAGTGATGAGGAGGATCAATTGTGACCTGAGAGCCAGACAGGTGCAGCAGCAGAAAAGGAGATGTGGGGAGAACCGGGGCATGGGGTCAGGAACTCTTAACACTCACATAATGGGTTCACCAGGCTTAGGAAGTTCTGTTGACCCGGTTTTTACCCCCGGGGACTCAGACTTTAAGCGGAGAAGGCTGGTGGATGGAAGTGTTGCTCACAATCCTTCAGAGACCTCCAGATTGGCCCCAGTAGTCGCCCCACTCACAGCCAACTGCAGCAACAGTTCCCATAGCAACCAAATGACTATCAATAATGTGCACTGTGCTCAATTTCCCTTTACTCCTCATAATAACCAGCACAATGGACATCAAGTGGCCTCCTCAGGCCGGCCAGATGCACCCTGCCAAACCTCCCCTGTCGTGGCTAACTGCATCCCGACCCCTGAACCTGCAGGGGGGGGCTGGTCAGCAGAGCACATAGCCCAGCAGTACATCGTCCCCTGCATGAAATACTATGGCATCTGTGTGAAGGACAACTTCCTTGGTCTTCAGCTAGGCAACATGGTCCTGGAGGAGGTGGAAGCCCTAAACCGCAGTGGGAGATTTCGGGGCGGTCAGCTTGTGAGCCAGAAAAACATTCCCTCTAGAAGCATACGGGGCGACCAGATCGCCTGGGTGGAGGGACGAGAGCCCGGGTGCGAGGGCATCGGGACGCTGATGGCTTACATCGATGAGGCCGTCATGTACAGTGCCGCCAATGGAAAGCTGGGGGACTGTGTCATCAACGGACGCACTAAGGTGAGAAGGAGGGACGGGGTAGGGTCAGGTGAGAGGAAGTTAGGTTCAGGCAGGGTTTGTTATCTTAAAGTCAGACAAAAACACAGGCAACCAACAAGACAGTCAGCCTGATGACATTTTGTGGTTGGTTGTGTCATGTCTGCTCTGCTGTCTCTATGCTTCTCTAATGCTGACATGCAGGCAGGCCAACAGCGTCAGGTAGGATGTCAGGATGGGCCCTGCTGTGTTTCTGGCCCACGTGAGCTTGATAAGGTGGGCTGCGGGCCGAGCTTTCCCCCTAAACTGGCCGTGTGCCTAGGTCTAGATCTTGGCCTTCATACCATTGGTACCCAGAAGGAAAAATAACACTTTATCTCTTCTGCCATCACTGTCTGCCTTTGAAGTCAATTTTTTTGTATAACCACCACTTTCACCCATGCAAACACTGTGCTGATGTTGTAGCAGAGTTGTGGTGCCTGTTTCCTTTGTGTCTAACCTCGTGGCAAAGTGAGTCGCCTGTTTTCTTTTTAATTTTCCGTGACTACACTGCATGCCCCATCTTCTCTGTTCCAATGATATTTTTCAAATGCCATGCACATTCACCAAAGAACAACACTTAGAGTTGATAGTTTTCTAAACACCAAGAACTTAACAGCAGCCTTCACTTAAATTCCATTCATAGTAAATTCACAGATGGCCAGTCAGGCAGTTGTTTTCTCTGTCCTGCACAGAGCCATGGACATGGTGTGCTGGACAGGAAGCCCCCCCCGCCCCCCTCCCTGTAGTGACGCAGTAATGGTTTATCTGACACAGGTAAAGTCAGTGACCCGTTATGACTGATGCCTGTTTAATTCTCCACCCTGAATCCATTTGTACACTATACTCTCCACATTGCTTACCCTGTAACATGGAAAATTAGAATCACCTTCTCCTTCCATATTTTCTTGTGTACTCTGTAACTATGAGGATGTTTTTAGAATCCAGTGTCATTGTGTCTTTTCCTATCAGTTGCTAGTAAACCATTACATGGCAGTCTAGACTGTAACCAAACACGTTCTTAGTGTTCCAGCCGCCCCCTTGTTCAGTCAAGATTTACAATATAACAGTTCCAGACTATTCAGATTGGAGTTGTTTGAAACTCTTATCAATATCAGGTCTTAATAAATGTTGATACAGCTTTCACTAAGTCAAAACTTTTTTAATGAAAAACAAGAAAATGATGGTGAGATATTAGTATCTTAATGCAACACTCTAAGAACATATCAGTTTGACATTCAAACTGTCCCATGCAGAAAGTAAATCCAGCAGGGTTGTTGATGTATGCAGTCTCAAAAGGCAAATGGCTCGGTCTACCTCACAGCCCAGCAGCTTTTGCTCTCTTAAAGAGCAACTTGCCAAGACAGCTGCCCAGTTCTCCACTGGTTCTCCTCACACCACAGCTCCATTTCTCTCCGATGGCCGTTATTTCTTCTAATCCTTTGCTGCTCCTGGTCTCTTGGACGCCTAGCAGGCTCATAATTATAAGGTTGTGGTCCGTCATATGCATACGAATATACATTTTCAACCTCTTCTGTGTCAAAACTAGCATTGTGAACCATGTTTATTCATACGTTAGACCGGCCGCTCTCCCTGATGTGACGTCACACGCGGGTGGTCTTTTTTTATGCGGAAGTAAAAATGTCTTACAAAAACAACGCCAGATGTCACTGTAGTGTATATTTCTGTATATTTTTTTGAAAATCTAGTGTATACATCATTTTCCTACACATTTATTCACTGGGGTCTCTAACCTGCAAGTTGCTCTTTAAATATTGGCTGATGGAGCTGTTTAAGAGTAAGTCCGTAGTCTGCAGCATAATGACAGCAAACCAAAAAAATGATATGAATATAATGGACTCTGCAAGCTAACATATTGTCATGTTTAAGATTTGCATTTGATATTGCAAAATACATTGGGCTTCTGCTGAGTTGCTTTCTACTGTGCAATAACAGTGTCTAAGTTACCAAAATATTTAAAAGCTCTCTTTATCTCTTGACATTTCAAGCTCTAATTTCAATGCATGACTCAAGTGGACTTTTTGGAATCGACACATCAAATCTGTTGAACTGATTCCCCTACCTGCTCAAGAAGACACTTGGGTGTTGCAGCTCATTCCATTTATTCTATATACAGTATACTCTTTCTATTATTTGGCATGGCATGAGTTAGTGATTCCCAGGTAGGAAAACGCAAACTGTTCCCTGGCTAGATCTCTCTTTACCCTTTTGTAAACTCCTTAAACTCTCTTGTTTGCCTCATGGACAAAATATGTCCTAGCTGTTACCTTAGTAACCGGCCCATACAGAGTAGAGCTCTGCATTGTGTATGAAAGAGATGAAGAGAGTGAGAGATAATTCAGTTAAACAGGGAAGGGTGAAGATGGGAACATCTCTGCAACATCGGGATGAGACAAAAAAACTCAGTGCAAGGAACGAGGCAAATTAAGGGGGAGGGGATAGACTGGAAGTGAGAGTGGAAGGAGTGGGAGGATAGCGCTGAGCGAGTTATAAGGGGTAATGCAGCACAAGCTTCGGCATAATGAAAACGTCTGCTGCAGCAGCGTGTCCTCAAACGCCCCTCAGAGTTCAGCAGTGCCACCATGCAGGCAGCTACAGATCTAGCTTTTTGGAGTGATGGATAGACGGATACATTTGCCATTTAAGTATTAATTTGGTCTCTTTTCAGGCAAACCAAGACTGTCATAATCATTGCCAGATAATATTGCTTCATGGTAAATGGTATATTTCACATGATTTGTTTTTATCTGGTGTTCCCTTGCTGCAGCACCAACCAATGTACTATAGCAGCAATCATGGTGTTTTAAGATGAAATATGGTACCACCTTGTGATATCTTGTTCATTTAGAATTATGAAAGACATTTAGTATTTTCTGACATTTTACAGAGAAAATAATTCATCAATAATTGTCAGATAATCAATAAATAATTACTTGCACCACTTAAAATGCACTTTAAGTTAGAATTAGTATGATCAGTATACATTCAGGGTAACACCCACATAAACTTTCTCTCAATCTAACACACACACACACACACACAACCACCAACATACTCAAATGTCTCCTTTCTGACATTCAGAGGTGACTCATGCATAATGAGTGCCATTGGGTCCACAGCAGAGTCATAAGAGCTGAGCACATTTTCCATACTTCTTTGTTTGTTTTATGTATACACATAACACATTTGCACCATAATATAACAATTACATGACAATTGATTTCATCATGCTTCTAACGCTTCCTTGTATTCTTCCTTAAAGTACGGAAAGAAGCTTCTTCTCCAAATAATGTGCAAATAAAGTAATAATAATAATAATTGTTCTCACGTATCAGTTTAAATCTATGCACATCCAACCTGTGGAGATTACAGAAACACACACACACACTGTAACTGTAATGCCCAAGCACACACACACACACAAACAGAAGAATATATTACTGTAGCTCTGTTGAGATGACGTGACTCAGCATTACCTACTGTAGAGGCTGATACTTTGTAACCTTAGTGAAAAATCACTCTAACAATAAAGAGTACATCTTCCTTCCAAATACCCACACAGACCAGTTTTAACCCTGGAAGTTGAAACCAGTCCAGCGTTGTAGTTTAAATTCCAGTTAATCTATAAATTGTAAAGAGCTGGGGCACTTCTTCATTTAGCAGATGTAACTAATGTAGAGTATGAGTGTGGCACTCATTTGGATCAAAGGTTATTATGTCCTCAGAATCCATTATCCAGCCTATGGAAGCGGTGACTCAAAGAGGTGAATTTAGCTTCCAATGAGTCATGATGTAAGCCAGGAAATACAGCGCGTATAAAAGATGGGAGTGACATAGCAGTTTATTATATTTCAGTTAATTTCACCCTCATCTGTTTCCTTCATTTTTCCAATCAAATCCAATTGGGTAGAAACTATTTGTAATAGCTGATCCTTATTTGCATCATAGACTGTGTCATCCAGGGTGTGGGTGCGAGAAATCGGATTTCGAAATTAAGATTACATTTACGAAGGAAGGAAATAAAGAAGAATCAAGATTGCAGTACGGCTCAACAGTTAGTGAATCAAGTGGTTTCAACCCCAGTGATAGACAACATTTGTTGTGCTGAAGTGTCCTTGAGAATGACCTTGAACCACTCAAAACATGGAGTAACATACTGTAATGTGCATTTTGATGAGGGTACAACGATATCCCTATATATGGTTTTATATAAAAAAAAAAGATCCATAAACACTCTTAAAACTGTATTAATGTGGACACTGGAATACCAGCTTTAGAGCAGCTGGCCTGTAGCTGACCTTTCACTGTAAGATAAGGATAGATTGGAAGAGAATTTAGGTTAACTATAAAAGTTAGTATAGTATAGCAACATTTAAAAAGCTTGTCCATAGAAATCATTGTCAATCATGATAGATATTGTGAGTAACCAAATGGTATGATGTGTTCATTAAGTCCCCTATCCTTTTCTCTCTTTCAATATTTGCATTTCTTACATTAAGAGGATTTCCTTCTCTCTACTGAATGCACATGTAAAGCTAGCACACATGCTATACATTATATATAGCCTCTTTGTCATTGTAATAATAACCTTAATTATGTCATGGCAATCCCTGGCTTCATACAAATAAAAATGGTGCCAATGGGTTTAACACAACTCGGCATAGAGATGTTTGTGTACACCCAAAAGAGCACTCAACTCAGACTGGAGATTGGATATCCACAAATGCATTGGAATTATTATAAGGAGAAGAAAACGACCGACAAAACATTTTTCCAAATTCCCGCACTGTTTATGGTGATCACAGTGTACCAGCACCCCTCACTGTTTCTCCTTTACAGCCAGTACTCTCAGTGCTTGTTCAAGCTTATCTATCCCCTCAGCCCTCTTTCCACAATCACTCCTCTTATCAGAATTTGCGTGCAGCATTGGAGTTTATTTTTGTCCTTGTCCATGGCAGCATGTTCTGCCCATCCAGCCGTCACCTTGACATCTACGCAGTCATGCCATTAGGACATTAAAGTAATGTGCCTGGTTGTGGTGCCAATTACAAGTTAACTCACTGTAGACACAGATCTTGGCAGAGATGAAGGTTCTGTGTCATGCTGTGTGAATGAATCAGTTGTGTGTGTTTATGTGTGTGTGTGCAGCTACTGACAGAAGGTTATTAACCCTGAAGATGTATGTTAAACTGGTTTAAATAGTAGCAATGTGTACTAATGTCCGTGGTAAGTTTAGAATAAATTACATAATCCTCCTCCTTAATTATACGCCTGTCTTGTGAAAGCTTTGATGTAGACATTGTGTGTTTATTTGTGTGTGTTTAGTGTGTGTGATGATTATGCTGCAGGCAAGGGCTGAGCTGGCTGGTGTGGCATATGAACTGTTAATAATGGTTGATTACAGTTGTTAAGATTATTACCAGTTTGATCATTACTGTGTACTTGGAAGACGCACTTCCTTGGCCTGCATGCACACCCAACATGATCACTGTGCTCTTTATCTTGAGAGAAAATCCATCCTTGAACCCTTTTTAATTTAATTTCATAAAAGACTTATGTTCATACATGCATGCATGTGCATTCCTCTTTCACATCCCTGAGATACAAACGTACAAGACCCACTTATAACATTGCTCAACAGCTATTGGTCAAAACTCTATACTGGAGGTTACCTTTACCTGTTTCTGTAATATGCAAAAGAAACACACATAAATAAAAAAATAATAATAAATGCAATCTTTAAACTCATTTAAATCATTGAAAAAACATGCCTGATTTAATAAGCTGCTATTATGGGACAAGTCTTAATTACTCTAGATCACATTCAGTTGACATTCCTGTTTGAAATAATCATAAGAAATTCATATTTTATCATTTTCATCTTGACGCAGCAGGTCTGCTAATCATTCTGAGCCCCGGAATAAAAGGTCCGGAGGGTAATGAGCTCTGACTGTGAGAGTTGGTCGGTAATGAGAGCTGACAATGGTCCGATTAACAGACTGAAACCCAAGGCAGCCAAACTTTGTTGGCTGTGAACGAGGAGGGAAACCATCGGAGGAAGAGAGTGTGCTCTCTGACTGAAACCCTCATACACACAATGTTACTTACATACTGTACTATACTATACTATATACTAACCCTAACCCTATGGATATCACAAACAACAAAACAAAAGGTGTGTTTGTGTTAGAAATCTATTCGAGCGCTGTTTGATTTCAGGGTTGAGACTCTCTTTCTGTTGTACGAGAACTTAAATGATAGCGTCAGGCGAGTTAAATCGATACTTCAGCGGTGCAGAGCCCGTTAGTCATGACTGATAGTGTCACAGAACAGAGCTGAAGCAAAGCAGTGACTCCTGATATTGTAACGTTGGCGTCCCATGCAGAACAATATAAGTCAAGCCAGTGACAGTATCTTCATAGTAGTCAGCCTGGAGAGATAAAAAAGAGTTATTACTCTACACGCCGCCAACTATCATCACCTAGAATCTCTCTCTGCGAGCAAGAGCTGATGTCAGTCTGTGAAATATCTAAAGACGTTTCCTCCTCCTCCTCAGTAGAGCAGACAGAGCGCTTTATTCACACGGCCTGCAACATGAGCTGATGATGTGTCATATTGACACAGGCTCTGCTCAATTTCACCCTGAATCAGTGCATTTACAGTCCTATGGTCCTGTAGTGGTCGTGGTCTGGAATGCTCATCGATTGAAGGGCTCTCACGAAGGTCTCTGTTCCCTCAAACTCCCCAGAGAAAGAGCGCTCGCCTGCTTCACAGCCTCCAACGCATAGATGTCAAGCAGGGGAAATACCAGCACAAGACCATTGTTTGAGCGTACACTCTATCTGCAGATAATTTGCTGGGAACAGCAACCGAACTCTGACACATGCCGCCGCTACTTCTCCCTCTCGTGACTGTGTGTTTCATAAATCACATCATTAGCAAAAAGTCCACCTGGAAAACAGTTTAGGAGTGAGCAGTGTGAGAGCCAAATGGCGAGAGAGGTTAATCAAGTCACTGCCTTCTTAACCAGCATGTTTTTTATGATGCAGTACTGTTTTTGTTTATTGTTTAAGGTGGACGCACACAGCTAACGGTCTTAATTTCTTCTGTTTTAGGCGATGGTTGCATGTTACCCAGGGAACGGGACGGGGTATGTCCGCCATGTTGACAACCCTAATGGTGACGGACGCTGCATCACGTGTATCTACTATCTCAACAAGGACTGGGATGTCAAGGTATAGTCATGATTGAGCTGCAGAGATTATTACATTAATCGAATAGTTTTGTTATTTTGACTATCAATTATTACATTTTTAGTAATTTTGCAAGAAAAACAAGTTTAATATGTCCCGATCCAGCCTCTTAAATGTGAATATGTTCTGGTTTCTTTACTCTTACATGATATTCAATAATATATATTTCAATTGGGAGAAAGCACACAATTTGAAACATGTAATTGTTCACCGTTTTCTGATTTTTAGAGAAAACTAATTGGGAAAATATTAAACTTGTTGTTCAACTATGAAAATATCAAACATTGAAACATTACAGTATGCCGGAGTAAATTAGGACCATCTTAAAATAATGTCAACAACTTGTGTGACTGTGTTTGTGTGTGCTTGTTTGTAGAAACAAGGAGGGCTGCTGCAGATCTACCCTGAAGGCAAAAATGTGGTAGCGAACATCAAACCTCTGTTTGACCGGCTGCTCATCTTCTGGTCTGACCGCAGGAACCCACATGAAGTCAAGCCAGCCTACGCTACTCGGTCAGTAAAATGATGCCAAACACAAACGCATGTGTAGTTCTGTCTCTACTGATATTATATGGGAAGAGACAGGGCGCACTAATGTATAAATCATCTTTATATATTAACAATACCATTAACACATTTTTATTTATTTATTCAAATTAACAAAAAATGAGTTGATGAATTACTTCCTTTTTTTCCCCTTTGTAATGGGAGGTTTGTCTTCTAATGAATTTAAATCAGTTGGAAAGTGCCTCAAATAAATGATGCTGACATAATTAGACAGAAGTTAATTAAAAGCACTTGCACACGTACAGTTATTTACATACTAGCACCAAGTAGTTGTGTCCATCGGGGGAACATGATACTCTTTCACTCCTCTCTCTCCTCTCCTCTCCATCTTGCTGCTGGGGGGCGAGGTGGAGCTGAAGGCAGGAAGTGTGTATTTCCTGAGGGGGTCGGTGGGAGGGGAGGGGAGGAAGGTTCGATTGCAGGACTCGTGCTGAAGAGGCACAGACACAAGAGACAGGAATAAACAAAACAGCCCCACCGGAGGGGCTTAAAACTGTATAAATTAACCCTCTGCTGCCCTGGACATCTGCTGCAGTGTGCTGTTCTCGTTCATACAAGATATCGTTTTTTTGTTATCTAGCTGGGTAAAAAATACCTATCAAAGAATGAGGGGTTACGTATGGTAACCCTTGTTATATAAACACAGGCGGAGCCCTCTACTGGACTCTATGGGTACTTCCCCTGATCCTATCATGCAAGCATTCATCCACTGAGACTTTCTAGACGTAGCCGGCCCCGGGGCGGGCCTACCTGAATGCACGCGCATCTCACCGTATAAAAGGAGGCCTCGCCTCCTGACTGTCATCCTACACTTCTCTTCAGCAAGCAGCATAGGACAGACAGGGCCCCTGAGTAGAGGGCTCCGCCTGTGTTTATATAACAAGGGTTACCATACGTAACCCCTCGTTATATCTCTCACAGGCCCGATGTATACACGCGCTGTCGTCCCACAACAACACTGTTCCATCTCACTGTTTCTGACCGGCTTTCTGGTTAGCAGCCGCAGCGCCTCACTCACCTCTCCCTCGGTCGTAACCGTGGAGAAAATTGAGGCTGCGGCTGACAGAGCACACCCTGACGCGCTTACCCCGCGGAGGTGTGCTATGACGTGGAGGACTCCCCGGTCGTCCAGATAAAAGAAAACTCTCATGCCACGGCCGTGCAGCGGCTGGAGCGCTGTGGCCACACATTTGCTGAACGTGCGTGGGGACAGGGAGTAGCCGAACGGTAGTCTGTTGTACTCGTAGGCCACCCCCTGGAAGGCAAAACGCAAATACTTTCTGTGTTTCGGAGCAATCTCGACATGAAAGTAAGCGTCCTTCAGGTCGATGGTTGTGAACCAATCGCCTGGCTGCACCAGGGGCCGGCTACGTCTAGAAAGTCTCAGTGGATGAATGCTTGCATGATAGGATTAAGGGGAAGTACCCATATGCGGCTTTCACACCAGCGCTTTTCCCTTTCTAGCTCCTAGCGAGAGCTTTTCTGGTTCAGCTCCGGTTTCCCTTTTCAGCACCCGCTCTGTTCACACTGCCCAGAGCTGCCGCTGCTGCGTCATGACGTCACAGTTTACGTCGCTGATTTTCTCCCACAACAACAACGGGCCGGGGACTGCGTCGGGTCGATGATCGTGTTGCTTTTAATCATACGAAGCCAGATTAAATTAAATAACGACTTCTCCAACCTTATACTTTTCTCCAGAGTGCTGTGGTTCATTGTTTATTAATGTGTTTCAGCGGCATTTAGCGACCGCTGCAGTGCTGGCTGCTCTTCCACGGGAGTTTATTCTCCCGTTAGCTCCGGGTTAGCTCACACGGCTCTAAAGTATTCACTGTCTGACTGTCACACAAGCAGCTGATACATATCCCCAGTTCCCCTTAAGTGAATGTGTCAGTCTGAATTGACGCTGTTTGGCATCACAACGCTGTTATGAAAGTTTCTCTGGTATAACATGGGTGATGTTAGCATAGCAACCGAAGCTAAACTGACTACTTGCTAAGCCGTTTTCTACAGGCACATTTTACCGGCGTATTTTTCATTATGATTCTACTTGTGATAGTCGGACATGACAACCTGTACAGCCCATGTATCTCCACAATGATCAATAACAGCGAACGGATGGTCAAAGTAAGGTTTCCTGCACGCCTCGACGTAAGAGACGTAAGCGACGCCGCGTCATAGCTCCAAAGCTCTTGCCTCTGGACCGACAATTTTTTGGAGCTGGAAGTGAACCGCATTCCGGAGCTATGACGCGCCGCTGCTGCGGTGTGAACAGGAAAAACCGGCGCTTTTCCAGCTCCAGCTCCGAGCAGGAGCTGGAAAAGCGCCGGTGTGAAAGGGGCAATAGAGTCCAGTAGAGGGCGGAGCCTGTGAGAGATATAACATATTTTGTCCTTTTGATTTGATTTGATTTTTGTGCTTTAACTTAATCCTTGTTAATGTTCTCTAGCAGTTATATATTTTACTGACAAAATAGACAAGCTCTTGTGTTATTATTATTAAGATCTCTTTTTCCTTCTTGTGTTTTACAGCTATGCCATCACAGTCTGGTACTTTGATGCAAAAGAGAGAGCTGAAGCTAAAGAGAAGTACAGATTGGGTAAGCTTCTGTAGTCCTAGCTTTTTTCTGCACTGGATCACCTTGTGTTGCATTTTGTACAACTTTATATTGTATTTGACTAATATTCTCTTTCTCTATCTCGCTTGTGTAGCAACAGGACAGAAAGGTGTTCAAGTGCCTGTCACCCAAAACAGCAGGACATAAATCTCAGCGTATCACTGGAGAAAAGTCTAAAAGTATTATGTGCCTTCTGAACTGCTAATGGACGTTGCAATCAAAAAGGGAGAGACCGTTAAATTGTCCGTCATCATAGCAGCTCCATGCCGGTCTGCAGTGTCAGCTGTCAGACTGGCTGCGATGTGATCGGGCTGCAGAACAGGGAAATGGCAAATATGGAGCACAAAAGGAGAAGAGAAAGACGTTGATGTCTCGCTGAATCTTGTATAAAGACAACAAACTGGAAGAAAGAAACAGACTCCTTCATTTTATTTAGTCATTTTCCCTGTTTGTTTTTCTGTGATGTTTTGATAAATCAATACCTTTTCTCTGCTCTAGTGTCATTTTCAAATTAAAACAAAAGATGGTGAATCAATGGGGAGAAAAGGGGGCCCTAGGAGTTGTCCCTGAATTATTTCCCCCTTGCCTGGGTTTTGTCCACTTGTCTCATGATGTTGGCAAGTGGACAACAAGAGTGTAAAAACAGAGGCACGGGAAAAAGAAAACAATCAGAAGACTCTCTCTGCCACTCATTCAGTCAGACCAGCCTAAAGCACCAACATTACAGGGATGCACTTAAAAATAGCATGAAGACAACTTTACACTGTAGTTTTACTCTATATAGCACACTCAGTAGAGTTCAAGTATATCTGGACTTTACTCCAATATCAGGCTAGGACTGAAGAATATATTGCCTCAAAAATCTTAGTGCAACAAAATCACTGATGTCCCAGCATGAACGTTTCTTTTTTTGTAGTTGCAATGTGTGAAGCTGATTGTCTAGACTGCACCTAGACAACACAACAAGTTTTCTACATGACTGATGTGAAATGATAACTATTTGACATGGCTCACACTTTAAAGAAGAGGCAATCTTTCCTTTGGTTGGGGGCAAAACAGGGGTGTGTGTGTGTGTGTGTGTGTGTGTGTGTGTGTGTGTGTGTGTGTGTGTGTGTGTGTGTGTGTGTGTGTGTGTGTGTGTGTGTGTGTGTGTGTGTGTGTGTGTGTGTGTGTGTGTGTGTGTGTGTGTGTGTGTGTGTGTGTGTGTGTGTGTGTGTGTGTGTGTGTGTGTGTGTGTGTGTGTGTGTGTGTGTGTGTGTGTGTGTGTGTGTGTGTGTGTGTGTGTGTGTGTGTGTGTGTGTGTGTGTGTGTGTGTGTGTGTGTGTGTGTGTGTGTGTGTGTGTGTGTGTGTGTGTGTGTGTGTGTGTGTGTGTGGCTTGAAGGCTTGAAGGCACATCCAGCTTGACTATTACCTGTTCTTAACATGACTGAAACAGTATGTATCTGCAGTGTGGAGATCAGTATAAGCACATAGTTAAACTATACACTGTATGTGAACTGCAGGGTCAAACTACTGCCTGCTCATGTGTGGGATCGACTGTTTGTGTGTAGAAAATGTACCTGCACATGTATGTGGCAATTTACCGTGTATTTTAGATTGGTTAAAGAGAAGGTTATTTTAAAATGCACTTTATTGTTTGAAATGCTATGGGTGAATGATAGAAAAAGTATACTTAAAAATGTAGGTTAATGCCTTTATGCTGTGGATAATACGGCCATTTTAATGCAATAGAACTAAAATGATGAGAACAAATGGAAATTGTTTGCCGTTTTTTAAATTTTGAAGTAATTAATTCAAACCTGTCTGTTTTTACTTCAAAAATCCCAGTTTTTTTTCAAATAGTGAAATGAGACCAAGTAAGCAGCAACACACACATTTTCGAAATGAAATAATAGCCATCCCTAGGTCTTATGCTACATGAGGGGTCACACTAGAGTACACTTTAGGCATTTTGTAAATAACATGTGCCTAAGATAATTATTGACAGCCCCTTCAAAAGTCTGTCTGAAGAATTAACAGATTGTCAAACATGGTGAACTATTTCAGTTTCAACCTTTTTTTAGTCTCCTTGTGAAATGAAGTTCACCAAAGCTTCTGTGTAATTAAGTTCAAATTTCAGAGACTAAGAGCAAGTTTGTTCTTTAGTTACGGCAACAACAAGAGTTTATGGTTTTTAATAAACTGTGTGCTTTGAGAGCACACAGATACACTTGGTAGGAGGCCTGTTAAACATAATCAAATACCGTCATACAAGATAATTTCTGTCTTTAAATGACATGAATTGAAACATAAATGCAGTTAAAAAAAATAAAAGTACAGCATGTACATATTGTGCTCTTTATAGTTAAAAGGGTGTCGCAATATTTTGGCAGTATACCTGTCATATTTAAAAATCACACATATAATTGTTGTGTAAATAATCTGGTGCCTCCTAACTCATTTATGTTCAATTATTTGTGTTCTCTTTTTACAGCCACGCTCACAATAACATCAACGCTACAGACAATTCTGCAAAAAGAAAAGGTCCATCAGAACACATGCACAGTCACAGAAGTTGTTCATTGGTGTATTTACATACATACTGAACACATAAACAAACTATCCCAAATGAGTAAATTCCCTCAGTGTAACATAGTCTGGTGGAACAGTCCCACTTTCTCCCTAAACAAAAACTCATATATGAATTATCAAGTTAACAGTGTAAGAAAATTGTAAATATAAACTGCACAGTGAACAAAATAAACACATTCTGATGCACCTTGTGATTGGCTGCTGTTTTGGCAGCACTCTTCAAACTTCCTTCTCTACTTTGCACACTCCTGGAGTATGACCGGAAATATGACCCATACAAAAACGCTTTGTCATAGTCCAAAGGGAATTCAAATGTCACCTGAGGGACTTATATGCCCCTATTTTATGCTACGTTGTAGTTCCTATAATGTGGTCATTTGTGTGTTGGTTTATTGAAGTACAGTATAGTCAAGGTTTTGCAATACTAGGTCTGAAAATATACATGAACGTTTAATACTGAACAATACTTTTTTAATACCTTACTTTTGAAATTAAGAACTCGTTTTCTTCTTGATTGAACTAACAGGATCAAACTTCTCAAGCATCATACGAGAGCTTTGCCTACTAAAAGGTCTACAATTGGGTAAAATGTTGATGCAAATCCTGAGTTACTGTATCTTAACAAAGAACACATAAACAACACCTTTCAGGGCTTAACAATTGTAGATACTCAATAGCTATGGACACATTTAAATGCCAAAAATCCCTTACAATGGCTGTTCCTCCATTATATTCCTCAGTCAAAATGTTCCAGATCAACTGTGGAAACAAGTTTGATTGTGCTGAATAAACATTATAATGATTATGCATCTGACTTCTTATAATAGAAGTGCGTTTATGTTCTTTTCACATAAACAGCGATGTCAGCATAGTAGGAAACCCTGACCTCTGTAATGCCAATGCACAGACTCACTCACAGTAATAAGAGAGATGTAAGATGAGGAGACCTTGCTCTTACATTTGCTGAGATTTCTATTGGCTGAATATTGAAATGACCTCAGGCTACTTCAGTTTTAGTAGCATTAACCATATAAAAACCCATCATGGTCTTTTTTATGGGTATGCATTTGACTAGAGGGTTTTCAGACAGCTACATGGCAAAATATCTGTTGCTGTCATCTCACTCCATCTTGTGGCTGATTTCCTTCATAGCCGTTTTGGTCTAGTCCTTCCTGTAGTGTCATGTGCAACCAGCAGAGGTCAGAACATAACATACAAAGTCTCCATGGGTGTAATACTCTTTGTGAATGGTGCTCATTGTACAGTTTGTCTGAATGTAAACTATGCACACCATGTCTCCCTCTCTATGGATGTAGGGAGTGTGTTTTCCCAGTACAAAGAATTCATCAAACTGGTAATCGTCTTAACAACTGAAATTAACAGCAATTAACATTTCATATGCCACACCGGACAGCTCAGCCCATAGCCTACAGCATAAACATCACACATAAACAAAAACACAAAATAAACACACACAATGTCTACATCAAAGCTTGCACAAGACAGGGAGGAGGGTTATATTATGTTTCTAACTAGGAACAATTTGAGGGAAAAGAAATACAAAAAATATTTTTAGAAACGACAGAGGAGAGAAAAGTGCGTAGGCAGCATTTTAACACCTCACTGTGTCTGGCCACAGCTCCCCATCAACCTGCAGAAGAGTCATGCACATAGAGGCCTGACGGTCAAACAGCTCCAACCGTTATGCTGCAAATAACTCTTCAACTGACTTCAGTTTATCCTCCCTCTCTGTTATCCTCCCTCCACCTCTTCCTCTTGCTGCTATCCATATATGCATTGTTGTTTTTTATAAATGTCTTACATGAAGCCTTTTTCTAGTGCTTACATCCTGATTGATGAGTCAACAATAAAGCAGTTTGGTGTTTATGTATATATATAAATATATTTAGAGAACCGTGTGCAGTGTTTTGCAAAAAGTGCCAAGTTGAATTGCAAATTGGGTGCAGAGCTGAAAATGTGTTTAAAGTTTTGGAGATTTGAGCTCAGGTTTTGCACTTTGAGTGAGAGTATAATTAGGCTTTATGTGAGATTGTTGTGTGTTAGCAACTGAAAACAACTGTAAAAACACACACACACACACACACACACACACACACACACACACACACACACACACACACACACACACACACACCCTGTTTTGCCCCCAACCAAAGGAAAGATTGCCTCTTCTTTAAAGTGTGAGCCATGTCAAATAGTTATCATTTCACATCAGTCATGTAGAAAACTTGTTGTGTTGTCTAGGTGCAGTCTAGACAATCAGCTTCACACATTGCAACTACAAAAAAAGAAACATTCATGCTGGGACATCAGTGATTTTGTTGCACTAAGATTTTGAGGCAATATATTCTTCAGTCCTAGCCTGATATTGGAGTAAAGTCCAGATATACTTGAACTCTACTGAGTGTGCTATATAGAGTAAAACTACAGTGTAAAGTTGTCTTCATGCTATTTTTAAGTGCATCCCTGTAATGTTGGTGCTTTAGGCTGGTCTGACTGAATGAGTGGCAGAGAGAGTCTTCTGATTGTTTTCTTTTTCCCGTGCCTCTGTTTTTACACTCTTGTTGTCCACTTGCCAACATCATGAGACAAGTGGACAAAACCCAGGCAAGGGGGAAATAATTCAGGGACAACTCCTAGGGCCCCCTTTTCTCCCCATTGATTCACCATCTTTTGTTTTAATTTGAAAATGACACTAGAGCAGAGAAAAGGTATTGATTTATCAAAACATCACAGAAAAACAAACAGGGAAAATAACTAAATAAAATGAAGGAGTCTGTTTCTTTCTTCCAGTTTGTTGTCTTTATACAAGATTCAGCGAGACATCAACGTCTTTCTCTTCTCCTTTTGTGCTCCATATTTGCCATTTCCCTGTTCTGCAGCCCGATCACATCGCAGCCAGTCTGACAGCTGACACTCAGATATTGGTAACATGTGCCCTATAACTTTATGTTATTTTTGGCATCTTGCCTTCTCAGTCAACAAGCATGACATCACATGAGAACATATTTTCTCCTCATTGGGGTCTCAAATGTTTTGGCACTCTAGTCACTCTGATGCAACCCTTCCAAACTGTTTCTCTTACTATAGACCATGACTATTCAGCACCTGTAACGTCGCTCTCTGATTTCTAATACAATATTTGCATGACTCCTTCACCCCGCAATGTTCCTATAAATGTTAAAGCTTTCCTTTTTATTTTTGTGAGTCACCATTCTGTGGTGGCCTGAATTTTTCAAAAACAATTTTTTATTAGGTCTAGTTTCCCCTAAAAAGTTTATTTTCCATTTTTTAAGGTTTCAATATGTCTTTATCCCTATTTTCGTATTAATTTGCAGTGTAATACACTTTGTTGCAGTCTCACAATGATGCAACCCTTCCAAATTATTACTCTTACTATAAATTGTTGACCATGACCTAACTATTCAGTGCCTGTACCGTCGCTCTCTGACTATAAAACAAGTTGTCTTTGACTCTTTCACCCTTTTGCAACAGTTTGCCTATAAATGTTAACTCTTTCC